GCAAAATCACTGATGAAAACCGCACCTTAGAGGTGCGATTTTCGTCTGCCATGCAGACCCACGTCTGTTACGTCTGCTTGGCATGTCGGAAATTGATTGACCAAAACCGCACCTTCAAGGTGCGGTTTGTATGTTAAAGTCGCATCCTCATGGTGCGATTTTGTCTGGCAGAAACAAATCGCACCTTTATGATGTGATTTTAATAGGTCAGACCTAAAATCGCACCTCGGCCATGCGATTTTAGTAGGTCAGAGGTAAATCGCTTGGCTAAAGTGCGATTTGAGTCCAGATAATTGGAACGCACCTTACCAGTGCGATTTATTTGTAAAACGCACTCTTAGGGTGCAATTTATATATAAAACGCATCTACAAGGTGCGTTCTATTAAAAAGGGTGCTATTAGTGTAAATTTTTACGGATGGGTGCTATTTTTGTAATTTTTTTTTAAAAGTGCTATTTCTGGAAAAATCCCAGGTTTCTTGCCACAACTAAAACTCTTTCAAATGAGTAGGGTTGTATACTCTAGTACTTCAGTCATTTGGATATTCAACTTTGTTGACCGCGGAATGGAGATCCCTTAACATACACAATGCTAATAGGTAGTGCGAGGGAGACATCAAATATCCCCGGTGTGCATTGCTGACCAAGTCAGATGTTATTTGGATGTAAATAAAGATAATCCCTACAGAATATACTTTCCTATTTCTTCTTCTTTGATTAAAAATATATTTTTATTTCGTTAAGATACCTAAATACTCTTTCTATGGTAAGTTTGCATAGACCCGTACATTTTTACCAAGTGATCAAATGGATTGCAAATTTTGAGGGTAGAGAGTATGTACATATGTCATTTTGATAGGGCTAGTTCTGTTGTAGTCTTCTCAAAAGTTACTTCTAGCTTAAACTTTTATAGAAGTACTTTTTAAGTTATTTTGGTCGATAAACTATATAAATAGGTTTTCATATGAGAGGTAATATCGAAGGTAATGTAACATTATTAAAAAAGTTTTAAAATAAGATCAAATTTTTAATTTATTTTTAGTTTGAAAATGATATAAATGAGATTAAATTATGTTTTCCAAAAAAACTTAAAATTGGTAAGAATAATCTTGATTCCAAAATAGTTTTTCGCATAGCTTATGCTTTTGTATTATATATAAATATTTCAACTTTTTCAATAGTTTTGACTTGCAGAGATTTTGACCCAACTTCACTTTAAGTGGCCATATCTAATGGATGGGGTTAAATAAATTTTTATTTTTATATATTTTTAATAAATTTTTATTTTTTTATTTTAATTTGGATTTCAATTTTTTTCACAGGTGAAATGAGTTCGTTGTGATCTACAAAATGATATTCATTAAATATATTTCCAGAAAAAGAAATCTATACCATTCATATCACTGGTTGCCACCCTGGTAATGCTTTGTGCCACCTTAGTTTCAAATTTTGATTTTTTTAACAAATGAATCAAGTTCATTGTGATCTATAAAATTATTTTCATTTTTGTATAATTCAAGAAAAAGTTTATACCACTGGTTACCACCCTAATACGTACCACTCTATTGTTTCTTTCTAAGCAATGTACCAAAACATTGGGTCTAGGATATTGTCAATAACCTCTGGTTATGCACTTATACATAAACGATATATGACCCTTGATTTTAAGTGGGGTCGGATATAAGAGGGTGAGATTAAATGACTTTTTATATTTCATACATTTTTTAAATCGACTTTCATCTTCTCTGATTCAGTTTGGATGGATTTCGATCAAATTTTTTTCCACAGATGGAATGAGTTCATTGTGATATACAAAATTGTATCCATTTCAATATATTTCAAGGGAAAAAATTCACCACCCTGATACAACTCTATATCATCTACATTTCCATTTCAATATATTTCAAGGGAAAAAATTTACCACCGTGATACAACTGTACATCACCTACATTTCCACTCAAATTTTGTTTTTGTTTTTTTTTTTTGCCAAGAAGGAACGAGTTCATCGTGATCTTTTGGATCTACAAATTTATGGTGGTATGGAGGGGGATTTTTAGGAGTAAATACACCACCCTATACCACCTTGGTACATAGTGGTAAATGGTGACGGAAAGTGATAAATGACAGTTAGTATATTCCTACTATCATGTATATAATATACTTTCTTCATTATAATATACTCATACAACCATGGTACACTTTAATACCACTATGGTATAATCTTATGTAGTACCAAAGATTACCACCATGGTATGAACTGGTAATAACTGTAATAATTATTTTTTTTCCAAAATATATTAAATTGATGTCATTTTAAAAAGCACAATTAATTTGATTTTCACTTATCAGTTAAAAATAAAATGATATAGCCCGTTCGATTAAACTGAAAAAATAACTGATAAGTGAAGGTAACACATGTTTGTACATAGGATAGTTGTGCATATAATTCGTTTCCAAAGCTTTGTAGGAACCAGCATGTTATGTAAGACTACCTACTATATATGCCAGTTGACACCATTAAATAGTAATTATAATATAATAATTAACTTTGCTAACCATCTTTATTAATGTAAGTCCAAGATTAGGAAACTTCCTCCGGCCTTCCCGTATAGATCAATCCTCGATTTATATATTTCAAACCCTATCCCCTTCCCTAGCTTCATTTTTCTTTGTCGATGAATCCGTAGTTTAATTGATTCCCCATTACTCTTTGCTAAGTCCCAACAATCATTGCCTTTTCAAAAAATTGGTCCATTTACAAGATACAATCAGTTATATAATTTTTTCTGATGTCCTGATGAATTAATAATGCAAAGTAGTGAGGCTTTCCCTCCATGTTTGTGGTGGATATTAGGGATGGATGTGGTTAATCCACATGTTGCTATTGATTCACACGCAAATAATTTGAACCGCACACAGTGAGTGATTGATTTGAGTGGATTGCGGATTGATAAATCTCATGCAAGCACTTAAATGGGTGGATTGCGGGTCACCCGAATGACCCACACCACATTTTCACATGAAAAAAATGTTGTTTCTTATACTATAGAATATTTATCATATATTCTAACCGCACTAGACACTAACCATCTACTTCTACAAGTGAAGAATAAAGAATAGTTTTGTACTACTATTATTGGTTATTGTATTGTGTAATATACATTAGATATTGAGATGTAAATTATAAACTATTAATTATATCAAAGTCACAAAATGCATCTGTTCTCTCTACACAATTGGTTCATAGAGCAATGAAACTTTTATTGTAAATACTACATGGATTTACCTCGGGTTCCCTCTTGGAGCTAGACCTAACTCGACCTCCATTTGGAATCCCATTATTGACAAATATAGCTCGAAGGGTGGAAGAGTATATACTTATCGCACGGAGGGCGCTTAATCCTCAACAAAGCGGTTCTGTCAAGTATGTCGGTTCATTACTTCTCCCTTTTTAAAGCCCCTAAACCTGTGATTGATGATATGGAGAAGATTATGAGGAGATTTCTTTGGAGCGGCAGCGAGGAGCCTCACAAAACACCTCTGATCAAATGGGAGCTTTGCAAAGACACTAAAGTTCAAGGAGGTCTCGGCCTTCTCGATCTAAGCACTTTCAATAAAGCGCTCTTTTCAAAATGGCTATGGCGTTATGCATCTGAAAGAAACAGCCAGTGGAGACAGCTCTTTGAAATCAAATACAAACATAATATATCATCTTGGCATACTAGTCGAGCTCGTGGTGGTTTTGTCCGTGCAAAATGGCTTGGTCTCCCAAACCGGAATTTATTTTTTTTGTCCGTTTATTTACAGGTTTCTTGCCGATGCATCATTCCCGGGAATCCCCAATTTCCCCGCAACATCTGTTTGGAGAAAGGTTGTTCCCACCAAGATTTGTCTTTACATGTGGGTTCTATGTCACATGAAGATTCTTACATCGGATAACCTGCAAAAGAGGGGAATTTCGCTTATCAAGCGCTGTGAGCTCTTCCGGAAGGATGCGGAATCAGGAGACCACTTGTTCGTTGAGTGTAAAATTACGAAAACAACGACAAACACACGACAACGAGATTTACGCGGTTTCCCCGATATCGGGACTAGTCCACGGGAGAGATGAACTCTCTAGCTGAAGCTCTATTTCGTTAAGTTCATGTTTTGGCCAGAGGCTTGTACATCACATATATACCCTTAGTTCCATTCAACTAGGGTTTTATTGTTTGGGCAATCAAACAACATACACGCATGAGAAGGGTTTAGGCGTGCATGGTGCGCAGCAGACGTTGACTTGTTTGGGCTGGATCTTGGCAAACCTGAGCTCTGGGCCGAGCTCTGGGCCAAGTCCATTACTCCCCCGCAAGCTGCAGCATGGAGATCACGAACGCGCAGCTTGGACAACAAGAAATGAAAACGCTCAGCCAAGGCCTTTAGTAAACATGTCTGCAAGCTGATACTGAGAGCGGATCTTGATCGGTGTGATCTCCCCGAACTGAACACGCTCGCGGACAAAATAACAGTCCATCTCCACGTGCTTGGTGCGCTCATGAAAGATGGAGTTCGCTGCAATGTGGAGGGCTACCTGATTATCACAATGTAGGGGTGTGGCATCACGCGGTGGAGCACCAAGTTCGCGCAAGAGCCACCTGAGCCAGATTACCTCACTGACAGTGTGTGCCATGGCGCGGTACTCAGCTTCGGCAGAGGAACGAGCGACGACCTATTGTTTCTTCGTACGCCAAGAGACAGGGACTCCTCCAAGAGTGATACAATAACCTGAGGTGGAACGACGTGTGGTCTTGCAGTCACCCCAATCGGCATCACAGTATGCAGTGAGATCAAGTGAACTCTGTGAAGGAAAGAACAAACCTTGACCTGGAGTACCTTTGAGGTAGCGTAGGATCCGGTGTGCGGCATCCATATGCGCCCGAGTAGGGGCATTAACAAACTGACTGAGTATATTAACTCCATAGGTGATGTATGGTCGAGTGACCGTGAGATAGAGTAGGCAGCCTACGAGAGGACGATAGGCAGCAGGATCAGGATGCGATCACTACGTCGCAGGGGCTGCGGTGGAACCTCCAGAAAAATGCCCCGAGGAAGCGAATCAGACCTAGCAGCTGGGTTGGTCGCATCGTGGCCCAAACTTGGCGGGGACTGGGCAGTGCTGTCAAGCCCAGGAGGGGATTGGGTCCCAGGTGATGGCACCGAAGAGCTGGGTCGGGCCAAGGGAGTGGGGCCAGGCAAAGCCTCTACTTCGGGCCGAGCTCTGGGCCGGGCCGAGGATTGATGTTGCGGTGTTGCTGTGGGAGAGCCAGGGGCGACCATGGGCTGACTAAGAGAAGTCCCATCGGATGATTCTGCATGAGGAAGCTCGGGCAACACCATTTCATCCTCAGTATCACTCCAATCGATTAAAAACTAGAATAGGAACCCAATGAAATTGCTGAGACGTGCCCTCTTGGAAAGGGAATATTGACTCATGGAAAACCACGTCACGACTGGTATATATCTTGCGGAAGATTAAGTCATATACTCGGTATCCTTTTTGGTTTGATGCATAGCCGATGAAGACGCAAGCTCGACCGCGTTCTGCAAACTTGCCAAGGTGAGAATGAGTGTCCTTGCAATAGATGAGACAACCAAAAACCTATAAGTGAGAATATGTAGCTTCTCTCCCAAAAATAACCTCGTACGGAGTACGACCCGTCGCCTTAGTAGGTAGGCGATTGGTTAAGTATGCCGCTTTAAGAACGTACTCTCCCCAAAACCGAATGGATAAAGAGGCCTGAAAACGCAGAGCTCTCGCTGTTTCGAGTAAACGACGATGCTTACGTTCAACCACGCCATTCTGCTGAGGCGTGTCAGTACAGGAGGTTTGGAGGATGATCCCTTCCTTCTCATAGAACTCGTGCAACTCTCTGGTTTTGAACTCCAGACCATTATCAGCTTGGATAGATTTCACCTGCTTTCCAAACTGTGTGCGAGAAAGATTACAAAAAAACTGCAGAAAACGACCAACATCAGACTTAAACTTCATGAGATAGACCCAAACTCCACGACTGAAGTCGTCCACAATGGTCAGGAAATAGTGAGCATCACTGTATGAAGTGGTAGCATATCCTCCCCAAATATCCACATGTAACATCTCAAAACACGAAGTAGTACGAATACCGCTAACAGGAAAAGGACTCTGAACCTGTTTAGATCTAGAACAAGAATGACAGACCTCAATGTCTGATTTTAACGAATAAGGGAAAAACTGACTAAGTGTGACCATAATAGCGGCCGATGGATGCCCCAAACGAGCGTGCCACGGAAGGTCCTGCCGACTGACTGCTTATGCTACGGCATTAGCTCGCGACTGACGACATCCAAACAAGCGTAGAAAATACAAGTCATCACGAATCTCCCCCTTCCCAATCACGTTCTTGGAGAGTAAGTCCTGTATAATGCAGAAATCACCGAAAAATATTAAGGCAACATTATGTTCTTGACAAAGACGGCTTATCGACAGCAGGTTGCAGCAAAACTCTGGGACACAAAGAAATCGGCTAAGCGTCATGTGATCATTTAGCTTGACCGAACCCATTTTCTTCACAGGAATACTAGCCCCGTTCGGTATATGCACCGGATGGCTTGGTAAATAAGAGTTTGACGGAGACAAAGCGGTTTCGTCCATGGCTATGTGTTCGTTACACCATGAATCAATAAGCCACTCGGATGTATCAGAAAAAGAAAACATACCAGCCATGTGACTTGCCGGATCGATTGCCCCATGAAGCTGACTTCCAAAGAACTGTTTGAATTGCTCCAACTGTTGCACAGTAAAACCAGAAATGGGACTTGCCTCCACATCTGCCTGAGAAGCTCTTGGTTCCCGCCTAGAAGTGCGTGCGGGTGCTGAATCACGCCCAGCATCTCTAGGCCGAGCTCGGCGATTTGCATTGTCGCCTTGCTTCCCCCTTGAAGTCCATCCAGGCGGATAGCCAATTATCTCATAACACGAATCGTGGAGATGCTCCAATTTGAGACAATGAGTGCATTGAAGACGATCCCGCTCACCTGGGCCGCGTTCGCGCCCTTCGCGCCCATTCCGTCCAGCAGATGCATATGGGTCGCCTTTGTCCTCTTCTCCACGAGTAGCAAACGCCGCTGCTTCCGGAATTGGCTTGCGATGCTGGATAAGTGTCCGCTGCTGCTCCTCATTGTGGACAATGCGAAAGGCTTCGGGGAGGGATGGCGTTGCTGTCATGGACAAAATGTTACTTCTCACGGTGGCATACGACTCATCCAACCCCAATAAAAAATCCAGGAGCCGCAGACTTTCATTTTGATCGCGGCTACGGCGTCCGCAGGAGCACATCGGAGGTGGCAAAATAGCCTGCGTCTCCTCCCATATCTTCCGCAACTGTGTGTAAAAATTTGACACGGACTGCTTCTCCTGTTGAAGCAAGCTTACGTTTTGGCGTAACTCATACGCACGAGTAAGATTCCCTTTGTTGAATCTATCCCGCAGATCCTCCCAAATCTCTTGTGCGGACTTGGCGTGCATAACATTGCACCGAACCTCCGCATCAATGGCTGTCCGCAGCCAAACCTTGACAAGGGCGTCGCAACGCGTCCAAGCGATCAACTGAGAGGCATCGCCTCCTTGGGTACGTGGAATAGACCCATCCACAAATTCCATCTTGTTCTTCGTGACCAAAGCATCTGTCATCTCCAAAATCCACTCACTATAATTAGAAGCGGTCAACAGGCTACTTACATGTAGGTGACCAGTACTCTCCGATTGGTGCATGAAAAACGGACTATGAACGTCGGGTGCTGCCGCTGCCGACCCAGATCCCACTGACTTCGACGTAAAAGGCGTCTCAAGACTTGAATCATCTCCCGCCATGATTGACTAACGTGAAGCCGGATCAATGCTCTGATACCATGTAAAATTAAGAAAACAACGACAAACACACGACAACGAGATTTACGTGGTTTCCCCGAATATCGGGACTAGTCCACGGGAGAGATGAACTCTCCAGCTGAAGCTCTATTTCGTTAAGTTCATGTGTTGGCCAGAGGCCTGTACATCATATATATACCCTTTGTTCCATTCAACTAGGGTTTTATTGTTTGGGCAATCAAACAACATACACGCATGAGAAGGGTTTAGGCGTGCATGGTGCGCAGCAGACGTTGACTTGTTTGGGCTGGTTCTTGGCGAAGCTGAGCTCTGGGCCGAGCTCTGGGCCAAGTTCATTATCGAGTGCAGCTTCACAAAATCTGTCTAAGCTCTTTTCTCCACGAATTGCAGATTCACTCCTCAACCTAGCGACAATATCATATCAATCATCCTGAGGTGGTCTGCATCCTTCCCCCGACAACTTCGCTGATTGGGTCTCCTACTGCATCCTTCACGCTATCACCTGGAACGTTTGGCTCGAACGCAATCGGCGCATCTTCAGATACAACAGCATTTTGGCTGCAGCCCTCACCCACAGAATTGCTCGCAACATCACTGAGTGGCTGGTTGCTCACAATAAAATCAACAAAATCGAAGGTCAAACATGGCTCAGAAGCTTCGTGCGCTAGACTTGACTTCTATTTTCTGGCCCATCCGTGACCGCCGGTGGTGCCATCTCATGCTGGGTCTCCTTGTTTGACCATATGCTCTCCTTTTAGTTTCCCTTTCATGTTTTGTCACACATGAGACAAAGTGGGCAGTGTCCAAATTGGTGCAATCTTACAAATTTGCTAGGAACTAATTATAAATGTTAGTCAACTTTCTTAAACCTAGTTGGAGAATTGCTTTTGCAGGTTAACTCGCAACCGAGCCGCACCCATCCGTCATCCACCCAACTCAACTCGCAGAAGAATGTGGCTGAATAGCGGATCACAATTCTACCGACTCGCTAATAAGCGAGTGGATTAATTTGAAACCAAAACCCGCCCGTTGTATTGAATATTTTGTATAAAAGTGAAAAAAGAAGAGATTGCACCCGTTTTTATAGAATGAGTTTTCAAACATTTTCTACACCTAAATAAAATTAAAACTACATCAGCTTCTTAATGCAATATAATTGTGAGAGAAAGGGAATAAAAGGTGATATTCAAAGTGGGGATGGGGGCCTGCTTGGTAGCAATAGCATTAAAGGGGTAGTGGAGTGGAATGGAATGGATATAGTATATCCTAAGCCAGTCAGTCAGTTCACAACTAGGTCAAAGAACAGCCAATGAAATGTATTTCACGTGCTGTAATAAGATCATTAAATGAGATCTTCATCCATCCATCTATCGCAACGTGCTAGCTAGTCAATCGATCGAACAAGATGAGATGAAGGCTGCGCCTGCGCTACGCCACTGCACGGCGCGGCAGCGCCTTCGCCGGAAATGTTTTTTTTTTTTTCTCTCTTTTTTAATTCTCGCCTCTCGGCGAGCCTGGCCATAGCGTCCACGACGGCGGCCCCGATTACTCCGGGGACTTCAACAAGTCAAATTCCCCACGCTCATTGACTTATTAAATAATCATTACTCCTTCGGGTTTCTCTCTGGTCAGTACGTGTTAAGGATATATATAGTTTTTTCTTCTTTAATTTATCTTCTTCTTCCCCCCTCACCCTCCTTTTCGTTTTGTCAACTAGTTAGCTAGCTACCCATTTGTTTATAGGATTGATGAGATAGCATGGAAAACAACGTACCAACTGCAACAATCTTAACCCAGTCACTGAATTGTCAATTTCTCATCGCCATTGTATACATAATATATACATACTAATTGGTTATCCCTGGATGTGGATAACTCATAAGCGTCTATATTTGTTTTGTTCAGAATGAGAAGTCTATAGCCAACATGAGATCTTGAAGATCATTCCAAGGATCTAACTCATGATCAGGAAAGTCAGTGGAAAAAAGTTACGCGGATCGACGTTACGTTGTTTAAGAGCAAGTAGAGCGACGTCTCAATTTTTAATAGCAAATTATCTTTCCGTTTTACGTTACGTTTTATGCCTTCTCTTTAACTTCTTTTTTTAGTTTGTTATTTATCAAAAAGTCAGTTTGCGGGATACATTGTCATAAAGTGACCAAACTTTATCTATTAAAATCGAAAGAGGAATGTGAATGAACCTAAGTTCTAGGGTTTCACTTTCACCCACCAAAATATTCTACACGATATCAGAGTCTGGTTGAGACTATCCTATCAAGAGAAGAAGGAAAACACTATTGATGATGAGTATAAATACGAAGCCGGGTGGAGAAGATGATGCTTTTTATGCTTAATGTAACGCAAAGAAGTTCAAAAGAAAGTTTGCATAATTTCTGGCAGTGAAGAGCAAATTGAAGTGCACTTTGATTAATTTTTTTAGAAATTAATCGGTTTGTTTGCATGAATTGTA